GATGTCCTTCGGAAGGGCGGTACAGTGCGTGGGAGAACGTGGGGCTCGGTGTGAGGTTAAAAGTTATCTGTGATCTTGTGAAAAGTTGTAGGATGACTGCTCCCGCTTGACTGGCGTCTGGCTTGGGATAGCTCGTCCCCTTTCTACTTGGCCAGGTGTCATGTTCACACCTGCCTTGCAGCTGGCGTGCTGGCTGAGGCACTGGGAGGCCCAGCTGTTTCAAAGGTAAAAGGAAGGAAAGGATGGTCCTCCCTTTGGTGGTGCAGTCTTTCCAACCTGAGGGCACAACTTCTAACTTAGAGCAGCACCCCTTTTGAAGAAATAAACAAGAACTGTTTCTTGTTTCTTTTAACAGCTATTTTTTTTAAACAGGCTTAGTGACAGCATTTCTTTCAAATAGCAAAAGGTTTTTTCTCTCAGCATACTTATTTTCACATGTCCAAGGTTAAGCCAATGTAGTAGTAGGCCAGTAATATAAGGACAGGCTTTTGTTGGTCAAGTAATCAAAAGTAAAGTCAGCTCTTGAATTTTAGAGACATTTTTTCACAGAGGTGCAAATATTATATAGAAATGTAATTGCAACGTTGTGCTAAAACTTGAAATCATAGTGTTTGTACTGTGGTATACAGAAGTAGGTTTATTGACTAGCTGTTTGTTTAGAGAAATTAATAAGGTTTTTGGTTGCCTCATTAGTAAATGGCTTTTTACAAACGATTATGAAAACTTCTGTCACTAATAATAGCAGGTAAACTTTTAAGTAGGAGCATTATTAGAAGTCATGTGCTATAGACATGAGTTTTCTTCCATCTGTAATTGAAGTGGCTGAAAATCTTGTGACTCAAGCTGAACCGTGTTAGCAAAGAATTGCTGTTTGGGTTGTGACCTTTTTCACAGGTTCTTTTCTACTCACGTGAATCGGAGTGTTCATTTGAGCAGCTCAGCTGGAAGACTTTGGTGGTTTTTCTTCTGTTAGGAGACCTATGTCAAGCATGTCAGGGTGGTAGTCATTTGAGACCTGAGTTTGCAGTTAGAATGTAGTGTCTACAGCCTAAGTGCAAATGTGTTTGCTCCATACATTTTTAGAGTAAGTGCTGTTCAGAGTTTGCAGTGTTGGTGTGGTATCAACAAACACCTGCAGGCAATTAGGACTAAGGATGCAAAAATCACTAGTTTTAAGGAACTAGAGGAGACATGTAAGTAGTGTCCACAGCGTTGACAAGGCTAACGTGTAAGTGATTTCATAGAGAAGAAACTGCATTTCTTCCCTTATTCTTAAACTCCTTGGACTGAAAGATTTGTGAGCCCCTGAGTAGCACATCTCTTCAAATAATTCCCTTTACACTTTCATATTATCCACAAGTGTATGATTTTTTTTTCCCGTATTCTTAATGTAAGCCTTGTTTTGTGATGTTAATTCACCTTTGAGCTGTTTTCTGCCCTTCTGGGAAGGAACTGATGATTTACTCTTGTCTAAATTCTAGCTGTAGTCAAGAAGTGGAGCAAGAGACTGAAGAGTTGGCAAAATGTGAAAGTGGTTCATGAGGAGGTAGCTAGTATGGAAGACCATTGCCTGTAGCATTTGTTATGGTCTCTTTGATTCCTTGTGCTTTTCTGTCTCTGTCTTATTATCATTTTACAGTTCTGTTTTAAGCCAGCCCTGGAGGACAGCAGGTGACATCTTTTATCTGCAACATCAGAATTGCTGTTTGCATTCATAGAGGGACAAATTTTGTTTTGCTTGTTGAAGAGATAATATACAACTGAATGGGGAGAAAACTGGATCTTCAGAAATCTGCATTTAAGTTTCAAGCAAAATTACAATAATTTGCAGACTGGAGCTTATTTTTTCCTTTTTTTTCCCTGTTTTTTTTTTTTTTAAGAGCAAATTATGTCATCAATACATAAGCCATTAGTTTAGTAATTTCACAAGGAATGAGGATAAGTAAAATCAAATAGTGAATGAACCAAGTACATATTTTGGGTGTTGTGTAGGCTGTTTGAATTAAAAGCTTGAACTTGTGGTTAACAGTCTTGGATGGACCTGTTAAGAGCTATGTATTTTTACTTGGAAAATGGAGTGGATTCAGGCTACTAATATAGTGTGTCTAATTGATTGAGTTTAAATGCAAACTTCAGTTGCATTTTGCTGGAAAAGAAGTCAAAAGGGAACGGAAGTCAACCACCTTTTTTTTAGTCAAAGCAGTAGTAGTGTTAAAAGAGCCAGAAGATAACCAGTTTCTAGCTTTCTGTGGGTTTTTTGTTAACGTATTCCTAGACTAATTGTTGGAGTTTTTTCCCCTCTTAACTGTACACCATAAAGTATTATTTAAAGACTGTTAAATTTGAAAATATTGACTTTATGATTATTTTGCTCAGATGAAAGGAAAACAGACTCGATCTCTTTCTGAAGATTCAAGTGTGGCTCCAGTGGAAGAAAAGGCAAAGACAAAAAGCACTAACACATACAGACTGGAGTCACGTAATAAATTTCGGGATTGTTTAGTAAGAGACAAAGCTCAACAAATACTAACGGTACAGTATTTTTTAAATTAGTTGTCTGATTTTATTGCAAAAGTAGCTTGTCTTGCAAAGGTACTTATGGAACAAGGTAAATTGCATGAACTTAAGCATATGCATAAATCTCTGCAGTCTTTGAGTTTTGCCACAGAAATACATTTGTGAATGTGCTCTGTTTTGGCAAAGTGCAGAAGGGCCTCTGCAAGGTCACTGCCGAGCTTGTTAGGTGCTGTTTACGTGGAGCTGAATCTTCTTAAACGCTTGCCTTTTTTGAAATCAAATTGAGCTACAGCCCAGTTCAAACTACCCTAATCTGCAAAATATCCAGTTAGCCAAAGATCATGACCTCAAGTTTGTGGAATTCTACTAGTTCTGCTAATATCACATGACCTGCCTAAAATATACGTGGTGTTCTTAATCGTCAGACTGCTACATACAAAAATTAAGCAAAAATGAAAGAAAACAATCTGTGGAGATAATACGTAGCTGTTAGTGATACTTTGAATAGTTATAACCAGCTCTTTTTAATTTTGTTGTCTGGAAGACATGCCTTGGATATTTGGAACTGGTGTTTGTAGCACTCTTTTCCTGTGAACTGAGCCCAAATGATAGAAGAGAATACAGTCGTCATTGTTAAATTGAGATTGGCTGGACAATTGGCCATCAAATGTGTGTCCCTTTCAAAAAAGCAGATAAAACATTTTAGCGTGAAAGTAGCGCATCCTTTGCTGTTTGGGAGTATCATCTATATTGACTATTCTACTCATTAGTTCTTCTCGCAAAAGGCTACCAGGATGAAAACTAAGATCTTTCGAAATTGTTTTTGATAGAGTAAACTTCAACAAGCCAACTACGATGGAGTTTCTAGTCCCTCCTTGTGTGCTTCAATCTCAGAAGAAATATTAAAGGCTGTGAAGGGATTTGGCTTTGACCGTTATAAATATGTGGTATCAGTGCTAATTGTGGAAAAGACAGATCAGGCAATGATTGTAAGTGAACATTATTCATAATATGTTTTGCAAATTGAAAACAATAAGGTGCAAACAGATTAGTGAAGTGGTCCAAGTCAACTTTTTTCTCCCAAGGAATATGTTTATTCCAGCCATCAGTTCACAGAGTTTAGCTCTGAAAACAATTTTGTCAAAAAAGCTGAGAGCCCAGTAAATGGTCACAAGATTGGACTAAGCTGGAGGTGGAGGAGTGGGGGACGTGACTTCTTAGTTCGATATGTTCCCAAAACTAATGTCTATTCACATAGACATGTTCTACTGCTTTTTAAGGGGTGCTCTTAACAGTATGCTAAAGTGCAACAAGTGAACACGAGAGAGAATTGGAGGTTGGTGTAGAGATTTTTGGATCTATCGGTGGGAGCTTTACTGTGAAGCAAGAACATGTATTTAACATCGAATAGGAATTGTTAATTTTCACTCAACTTTTGCATTGTTGTTACTAGTTGTAACTCTCATAATACGATTAGATTAGCATTTAGATAATGCTGTGTGTTCTTTAAAAAATAAATAGTAAACCTGTGCTGTATATATATTCACAAATAGCTTTTTCTCTTTTTTCCCTTTAGGTTGCCAGCAGATGCCTCTGGGATGTTCAAAGAGACAATTGGGTTTCAGCTAAATGTGAAACTGAAACATTTATTGCACTGGCTTTGGTAATGGCTTGTTATTACGACTAATACTTTGAAAGCCACAGATGGATTCGTGCATCACAGTACATGGTACATTTGCAAATTTTCAGAGCATCATTATTTTAGTATTTATTTTTATCCTATTGCTGTTGGCACATTGAAACTGACATACAGTTGAGAGAATTTTCTTCTTTTTTTCTCTGTTAAGAAAAAAACCAACCCCCCCCAAAAAAAAACTTTGGAACATAT